GACTGATGATCAGAGAGTAGGCCTTGCATTCCTGCCGGGGATTGCATAAGAAGGCCACAAAAGAAGAGACTGGGTTCAGGAGTTTTCTAGCCAATAGGCCAACTCTAAAAGAGTCCTAAGACAGCCTCAGGCCTCACGGCAGCAAAAAGGCACGGAGCCACATTTATAGGACCGGATAACCCCGCATGCCAAAGCTTTCTGCAAAGCAAAAGTTGCAGCTTAAACACAAGGTAAAAATATAGACAGGTAAGAAGGGTATACGACAGGGCGGCCCGAAAGCACCATGGGAGATGACAGAAGGTAACGATGATGATGATGATGACGATGATGATCCGTCAGACAGAATAGCATGGAGATTCATCCTCCCAGGGGGGCTGATGTATGTCCGCCTCTATGTAACACCCACATCGACATTGTCAATGCATATCAACATGTTTGGCAAGATCGGGACCTTGACAACCTGACGCGGAGGAACCTTTTGGACTGCATGCCACACTTCGAAGTTCTACTTCAACAACATGGTCTGGAGGCCCTCAACACCTGAGACACAAAGCTGAGGGCCACCTATCAGGGACCCAGGGGAGCCAGTTCTCGAATAGATTTCAGATGAAGCGAGCCTTTCTAAGCTCAAAGTGGCTGTGCAACACCTGAGTTTATATAGATCTTCCTGATCTTCCCAGACTCAATCACCTGCTCATGCAGGCCTGCCGCACTTTTCAACCTCAGGCCTTATGGGCAAATCACCAAAGTGCACGTCCACCCAAATGGACCTGGGCCCTACAGTTCCGGTCGATGAGCGTGACGGCTGCATCAATCCGCAGGGTGCAGGGACTTCACGGGCGTATGTGTCACAGACTAGGTTCCCTCCTTCTTTCTGTCCCTGGATGCTTGGGCCACAGCTACCCACAGCTGGGAACACTTCCCGCCCCGTATTCTTCTCTGTGTCCTGGGTCACAGTCAGTGCTGGGAGCCGTTTCCTTCCAAGTTCGTTCGTTCGTTTATTTTTCTCTCTCGCCCTCTCTCTCTCTTTCTCGCGCGTTTGCTTTTTGACAGCCAGGTGCTGATGAGACCAGTGCTAGCAAAGACACTTGTCAGCTGTCCGTGATACGGTTCGAGACGTGTGGCATTTAACTCGATCTGCTCTAGAGTCTTCGGGGGTGTTCGGAGGTTTTCATGAGGCCGTGTTGAAGTAGAAGGCTAGTGCACTTGGCAATCAGAATGCGTTTAGCATTGTTGCGTGAAATTTGAATTTTGCCGCTTTGGGGGCGTTCTCGGTCATGCACAACACTGGACTCTTATCCATGAGGGTTTCTGTCTTCGTGCGCATATGAACTCGGGGGCCCGCAACAACCTTTGGCCCAAGTCAATGTTGCGGTTGTTTCCGCAGAACGGTTCATCATGTTTTTCTCGATGTACGTGATTCCGTTTTGGATGGTTGCCTGGGCTGGTGGCGAACATGTGCCGAAGGGATGTCCTGAGGCATTGGAATTGGAACAGATCTGGTGTTTTGTACACGAAGATGCCCAATTTTTGGTTCATTCGTATGGCCACTTGAAACCCAACATATCAGGGAATTGGCCAGCTTGGTGTGCAGATGGTCTCCCGTGGTGTGTGGTTTTTTTGCTTGGCGCTTCCTTATGTTATGTTTCAGTGAGGGCGCTGATGCAGTTGAGGTCTTGCGATCCCATGTCGTGCGAATACGGACTGGTGTCGCAACTCGAAGATGGTTCTGGCATAAGTGTGGGAGAAATCAGCACCAAGCTCGAGATCGTATGTTTTGCTGTTTTCATGATTGTTGACCTTTGCTTAGACAACTTCACAGGCATTCGATATTGCATCAAAGGTTTCTGGGCCTTTGGACCCCTTACCCTTATGATTCCTATGTTTTCTGGCATTTTATGCTTCACTTATAAGCGCTGGACTTGGACTTTGGCAGATCCTGCGCATCAGATTGATGGCAAATACAGTGGGTATCGGAAAGCTGGCTTAGATGCGAAGGGCGAAAAAAAACCAGGTTTGAAAACTCTTCTCCTGCAGGTGGTGCAGTTGGACCCTTTGATGACAGCATGGCGTGCTTATCATGACCCTGACTTGTGTGAACGTGAGTGGATGGTGGAACGAGCCTTCAGTGGCGTGGTCGAGGGGTTTCCGTCAGCTGTTCTTCAACTCTACGCTCTGCTTTGCATTGAGCAGTCTGGCGATCTAGATGTTTGGGATATGGTGAATGTGGCCTCCGTCCTCACATCCATTGTGTCTTCCTCAAATGCCATGGGCCTCATATCCTTCAAGCTCCTCCCTGACAAGAAAGTGGAGCCCCTCTCTGAAGACTTTGGTCAAGTACAACTTCGAATTTTGCAGACGTTGGACATGTTCGCACGAGTCGTTTCCTTGGTAGCATTTGGGGTTGCACTTCGTCCCTTTGGCGCCAAAATGACACAGAACAGGCAATGGTACTTGAGCGCCTTATTGATTGGAGAGCTCGTGCTGATGTATTTCTTTGTGCGAGACGCCCAACTCACTAAGTTTCGGAACAATCGAAGTGACAGCGTTTTGCTTTCGTGCGTGCTAAGCTTTTTGTCAGTGCCACTGCTTGTGTTCCCCGAGGGCGCCAGTTTCACGTGGCCAAGTATGCTCTCATTGCAAGGGCGCACGCTGTGTTGGAGGACGGTAGAAGTTCTGATCACATGCTGCATTGTATGGTACAGGGTGCACATATACCCCGCGGAGCCCCATAGGATTTTGATTTATCTGACCTTAGGCTCCGCGATTGCATTCGCAGCGGTGTTTCTAACGGTCCTCAGAGACATCATGTGTCGAAGCTGGTTTGGACGCCCCTTGCTTCCTGCGCGTGGCGCGGAACACTTTCAGGAAGCACACTGGGCCGCAGCACTGAACAACCCATTGTTGCTAAGAAAAGTGCCAGAGCAGCTGAGAAGCGCAGGCAATAACGGACTGCGGCCAGCACACCTTGCCGCATTCTTCGGCCATTTAGACGCTCTCCAGGTGCTGTCCGAATTGGCTCCCCACACACTGCGCTCAACAGACGACAAAGGCCAGACACCTGTCCATGCTGCAGCTTACGGTGGACAAGCTGCAGTCTTGCAAGCTTTGGGCCAGACAGCTGGGGACACCTTTCATATTGCAGATGCCGAGGGAAATGTGCCCGCGCACTTCGCGGCTTTAAATGGAGACCCAGCAACTTTGCATGTTGTGCTGCATTTTGCAAGGGGGACTTTGCTTCTAGGACGGCCGAGTGATGGACTAATGCCAGTGCACTTGGCAGCTTACGAGGGCAACATGGATGCTTTGAATTTCTTCTTTCATAAAGTGTCATCTGAAAGCTTTCAAGCGCAGGCATCAAGTGGCTTGACTCCTGCACACTTGGCAGCCATGTGTGGACACGAGAAAGCATTGGAGATGCTTGGCGAGTTAGACAAGCGGTCGCTTAGTCTGCCTGAGCAGGGTGGCGAGTTGCCTTCACATTTTGTACCTAGAGGCGGGGGAGCATCAGGTGCATTACAGATACTGAGCAAGCACGCCCATTCGACGCTCAGCGCTCAATCCGCAAATGGCCGCACACCTGCACATTTGGCAGCGACAAATGGCCATTCCAACCTCTTGCACACTTTACATGAATTGGTCCCAGACACACTGTCTTGCATAGACACAGAGGCCAGAGGGTGGGTGCCAGCACATCAGGCTGCTGAATTTGGCCACGAAGGAGCTCTCCAGACCTTACACAACTTAGTGCCACAGACACTGTCCACGCCAAACACCAAGGGCCAGATGCCTGCACATGAGGCAGCTGCAAATGGTTACGAACAAGCTGTGAGTCTGTTGCAGCAGCTGGTTCCTGAGACACTTAGTGTTGAAGACAAAGATGGCATTACCCCTGCTTATGTTGCTGCTTGTGGCGGCCATTGCGGAGTCCTAAAGGTGCTGCACAGACATGCAGCCACCACGTTTGCCAAGCAAACTCATGATGGGAAGGTGCCAGTGCATGGTGCCGCCATGCAGGGCCGTGACGATGCCGTGAAACTGCTGCACCGTTTCGTTCCTGACACGCTCAGCTGGAAAGATCAGGATGGAGCAGTGCCGGCGCATTTGGCGGCCGCCCATGGGCATGAGAAGACCCTGGAGACCTTGCACCAGTTGGTACCAGAAACACTGAGCTCAGTGGACGAAAAAGGTCAGGTGCCTGCACACAAGGCAGCTTCGAATGGCCACCGGGATGCTTTGAATGTGTTGCGTCGTTTGGTCCCTAAGACTTTGAGCCTAAAAGACCTGGAGAACCAAAGCGCCGAAGAGTTGCTAGCTTGTCACCAGCTGAAGGAGGCCGAGGCATTTTTGGGGCAGGAGAGGGCTGTCCATCTCTTGCGCCCTCAGATGGATGCGGTGGATTTCGATCGGCCAACCTGCTTGGGATTGAGATGTTTGGGCGGGAGGTCAAGCCGAACAGTGTCACGGCGGTAGCGGCTTCCGCCACTTGGGCAGATGATTTAGACCAACCGTCAACCGTCCTTCTTTTTTGACACCGTCCGGCGAAAATCGATGAGGGCAATGACGGGCAATGCACTGTGTATTGGATTGGAATTGGGAAATATGAGTCATAAGTTTACTAATTATAATGACTCACCTTCTAGAGGACCGCGGACCCGCTTTTCTCTAGGGCAGATGAGATGTTGCGCCCACGTGACATGACGCCAGTATGACTATGACCACTAGCAAGTTTTCGTTTTCTCCTTCTTCTCCTTCTTCTTCTTCTTCCTTCTCTCTCTCTCTCTCTTTCTCTGTCTCCATGCCTCCAAGATGATCAGGCTAAATCACTGTAAACATCGCCGATTTTCGCAACTGAGGTGCTGGAGAACTACTTCACACCAGGAAGTGTGACACTTGCAAGGTCAATGAAATCACCCATGATCACAATTCTACTTCTTCAATTCTGAATTCTGAATGCCTTCAAGTCTGAATGATTCTGAATGTAATTCATGCACAGCCACAGGCGAATGTGCCTACAAGCCCCATGCATAGTTCCTTAAAAAACGAATCTGAAGCTTATTGGACTTGAGTAGACGGCATCTATACTCTGAAACAATCTTCATTGCGAACAAGCAGGGGGTACCGTTGGAGGCGCAAAACACAGAGTGGATGGTGCGGTACATGATGCCACTTTGTTGAGAAGGATTTGGGCCAATTGGATCCACACAGATGGTTTTGCACAAGCAAAAAAGAACTGCAATCCGAATCCAACCATGCCTTACAATGGGTATTTCTTGAGGTACCTGCCACTCTAATTGGGCCAAAGTTGCCCTGCCCGGGACGAAATCCAGGCCAAAGTAAGCCAATCGATGAACGATGCTGATGTCCAACAGAGAAGCCATTAGCCAACTTGGAGAGCAGCTGGGGAACATGTTTCATGAAGTTTCATGTTTTCTCCAATGGACTCCAGCACATTCTTCTCACGCACATTCTTCTCACGGACCGTTGGCTGCTCTCCATGCATAAATCGTCCAGCCGGAGAAGAACTCCAGGCCGAAGTGATCCCCAAGCCATGAGGCAATAGAGAGGGCGCCATCGAAGCTCGGGAGAGAATTGATATACAGACACTAATGGATTGTGACCCGAACCTTCCTTCTGCATTCTTTTCCCTGGCCGGTTGCTTTGGACATGGCCCACTGCAAGCAAAGGCAAGTCTGCCACCATTCCAAGTCACACGATTGCCAAATTTGCTTAATTTGGTGCCTCATAGTTTTGTTGAGGTACGATCAGCGAAAGAAGACCTTTAGGTGTTGGACTTTGAGCAGAATGCCTTGTGCTCCATCATGTTTTCATGCTGGGCATCATGATGTTTGCAAGGTTGTCCTTGGGCAGTAGCCCAACAGGGCCGGGGTCTGGATCTACTTGCCGCCATGGCTGCAACCCTGAGACGCTACGCGTCCCTTTGGCAGCTATGGGGTCTGGGTGCGATGAGCGCGCGAAGGGAAACTATGCAAGGAGGGCATCAACACCCTCGAATCTGTTTAGGTTTAGGTTTAGGTTTTCTGCAGCGGAGGCATCGAACGTGTGTGCGAACGTGTGCGAAAAAAGACATTGGGACAAGACAAGCCACCCAGAAGCTTGACCAACTCTTCACAGAGCCTCATGAAACATGTGCCGCCAGACGAAAATCCAGCCACCTCCCTTCCAGGCACTCCCATTTTCCACTCCCACTTAGGCCTTTGGCCGTGGGTGGCGCCTCTCTGGGTCTTGGAGGTTTGCTGGCGGCCACCGAGTTGAGGCGCGTCTGGGCGCGTCCGGGGGTGACATCGCTGGATGACATCGCGTGGGGCAAAGGGACCGCCAAAGGCATGCGCCGCGAGCCATGGTGAGTGCAGTTTGGGGTGGGAGAATTGGCAAGTTTTTTGAAGGTTTGGAGGGCTTGATCCGATCCTTTCTTTTTGCAGCGGATGTTTTGGAGCGACGACCCTCACACACCGTGGTGCCATGGATGTGGCGCTGTCATGGCGGGTGGCTGGCGTCTCCGCCGGGAGGACCTTTCGATGGCTTGACCGAATTCGGAGTCTGGGGGGGGCGGAAAACGTCCGGGAAGGGGGTGAAACCAATGGCCGTTGCCCTTTGGCCGTCGCGGGCTTAAGCTTTGGGTGGAAGGATCCGTCCCTTTTCCCCCGGTGCGTGGTGAGGTCCGGTGTGCGCTGGTAGACGATGTCGGAGTCACGGCTCAGGCGAGAGTTGCCCGAGCCATGCCAGGTGGGAAACGGATATCTTATCGAAGAAAACTGGGATCGTCTGAATTGACCATGGTGTGTGTTTCTCTCACAACTGCTCCTTGGGCTTTACCAAGTACTCCACGTACTCCTTAGGTTGCCATATGTCACCTATATAACTCTTAAACAGTATGGGCTTAAGCGCGTGTTTTTCAAGTAGCCCACCACTTGGACAGGTCGACCAATTCAGCACCAGCATGGCACCTGAAAGCTTCTCGGGGCGTGTTGGAGCCAGTGCATATCTTTTGCGGGTTCAAGTCCGGCGCACAGCTTCGGGTCCATGGGGCCGAGCTTCTTAGTGAGAGAAAGACCCGCCAAGGGTGATCATAGCAATCATCCACTCTTCCGCCTGCTGTTTGCGCCGTGTCGTGTTGGGCGAGGTTCTACAAGTGCATTTGATGGATCCTTCGGTGGCCTTGCTGCAGAGTGTAGGGGAAGATGTGGAAGTCTGACGTCAGTCCTAGAACGTGGAGAGGATGGATGTCCTCTTCGGTCAACGGCCGTTAGTCCCATTGAGCCCTACCCTTTTGGTTGAATCGTCCACCCTAAAAGCCTATGTGTGGCTTGTTCCACACTGGCTAGGTTCTACCCACAAAAACTCCTGCACGCTTCAACTTCTTCAATTGTGATTCTATGGATGATAAAGATTCTATGATGGATGAAAGCGGCTACACTCCCACAAAATGGGAACATGTGAAGGATGGAGCTGGTGTACCGCCATGAGCAGTGGCATTAGTGGCCCACTCTTCCCACAAGTGCCCTTAGGTCCAACAAGACCTTGGCTTCGCAGCTGCTCCGTGGAGCCTTCGCTTCTGGCACGGCCAGGTCTTGTCCTCCCCTTTTGGGCGGCCTTTGTGGGGGGGGAACTGATACGAGAAAAACAGGCGGGGCCCCCAGAAAAACCCATCAACTTCTGACCAAACAGGATCAATTTCCATTGGATTTGGGTGTTCGACTGGCTCGGTGAGTTGATGTTAATGGGTTGTTTTGGGATGACACGGACATGCAGCTGGCCAGCTGGTTGGGGCGATGCACGGATACAACGGGGCGAGGTTTCTGGGGGCGTAGTGGGGGACAGCCCCACTCTGCCAGTGAATTGATGGAGTGATGACTTCCTTAGGCCCTAGGCGATCTTTGCTGGGTGATTTGGAGAAATGTCTTCTTTCAACGTGGGTGATCTTCGCGGGGTCGCCTGAATCTGAAAGCACCTGAATCAACAACATGTGTGTGCATTTGGGGTTGTCCCACCAGCATGGTCACAAGCTTGAGAGATTGGTGTCATTCATAATTGTGAGACTTGGTGATGCAAGTGAAGCTAACTAAGTTACTAAGCATTAACAGCATTTCAGGGATACTGAAAGGCAATCACATCTCCTTTACCATGGTTCTAGAGGGGTCTGCTACCTGTTGTGAATCATGGGGGGCCCCTCTCATTGTGGCACAGATTCACCAAAGGGGAAACGGCTTGTCGGCCGACTGCTTTGTTCAAGGCTGAAGGTAGCGCGAGGATGGCCGGCAAGCTGACCCAAAAAACGTGCTTCCTAAAATGAAGCATGTGTGGTTAGCCTTCGCTTGGAGCATCGCAATATGACAGAAACGTCGCTTGCTTGATGAACCGTGGAGGACCGGTGCCGACCACGTGAGGCATATATACTGTATAGGCACCAACCCACTGAGTAAGCTAGGTGACAAGGTGACTTCAACCTCGAAGAACTGGAAAAACCATGGCGAACACAACTCACTTGCACACAAATGGGCCCCAACATATAGGTGAAAAGTGGACCAAGATGGTGTGATACCTGCAGGTATGGGGCTTCCTTGGCCCAATGGAACAATCCTCAGCCGTTTAGTGTTATTCTTTTGGAGCGACGTTTTCCAGGTCAAAAGGTGCCCAATTGGGACCCTTCCGTTGAAATTTAACTTCTGATACCATGACCGACGCCTGGATGTCGGAATTGGTGCTTCAATCAAGTCTGCCTGGATGTCCAAGTGGGACAGGTCTAGGTCTAGGTCTTACTTTTACTCCCCAAGACATCTTGGCATGGTTTCCATTGCGCCGGTGCCTTTGCCTCGGGTAGTGTCTTGAGCTCAGTATGCAGACCGGGCGCCAGCTGCGTTTTGACCCCATATGTCCCAGATGGCATGTGAACTAGTGTGACAATAGCCAAGTACAAGCAGGAACCAACCAGTTTTGTCAGCATTGACATTTGCTTCGAATAGACTAATGCAGCCAAACCCCACAGTTGCCTCTGATTTTCACCAAACCTGGCATGTTTAGATCCCAGGTGCCGCGCCCCGGCCCCGCGGCTCGCGGGGCGCGAGGCACGGCGCGGTGCCACGCCGCGCGGTGCCACGGCACGGCGGCGGGACGAGGGTCCCAGACCTGCGCGGCTGCGGGTGGCTGGGTTGGCAAAGTCTTGAGCTGAAAACCCTGGTCGATTCCCATTTTGGGCTCATGGGACTCATGGGTTTCTATAGTAAGGCTCGATGTTTCGACTGTTTCGGCGTGGTTTCCGACCAACCTCTCGTGCCAATCCATGGGTCCGAGGACTTGGCAACGGTTGGCGCTCTCTCCCGTGCGCTGACTCCGAAGAGGCAGCCGGTGAATGAAGAAATGCTGCACTTGAAGTGGAGCTCTTCTTTTGGCGGCCCGAAGTCGTTGCAAGGTAGGTAGACTTAGGAGGTTGCATGAAGTGGTTTGACGACCTGTGACGAGACCTGGACCTGTACTAATGTATTATCCCATACTCACTTTGGCCCACCCAGACATCCTTGTCCATTTCTGCTGTGGGCCTCGGTTTTAAACTCCAGCCTCATTCTTGTCACCACAGGCACAGGGGAAGGTGGCGCACGTGGGCAAGGCGCTGGGCGTCGGCGTTACGTGCGGCTGTGCCGAAAGCCGTTCCACAGCAGGAGTGAAGCTCTACTTGGAATTTTATCCAGGAATGTTTGGGGGGGTTCTTTTTCTCACAGGACACATCAATGCAGCCACTTGGGAGCTTCAGCGCCCTGAGATTGGGGGTCTTTTGACTCCAACCTGAAATATGATAAGGCTGCCTTTTGAGGCCACCCCAGGGTTTTACCTGAGGATTTCATCTAAACAAGTCAAGTCTACTGGAAAAGGCCCCAAGAAGTGTCGATACAGATCGGCCAAGCTCGTCGCGAACTGGAGTGCTTCTGGATATCTCAAGGGTGAATCGCAGGGACTTAAGGATAGACAGAAATGCTCCAGATTTTGCCAGCTTCCGGCTGTATGGAAGAATCGAGCCTGGCGAAACCGGAGTAGTGCCCACCTGGAATCGGAAGATCACATGCGAAATCACTCCCGGTCGCGGGGCGAAACCCATGGCGAAACCCGTGTCGAACGAAACGACTTTCGTTCAGCTGCTGAATTACACCGCCAGTGGCTCGCCCTTCTTTTCGAACACGCCAGAGAGGCGGCTGGTGTGGCCTCTCACCATTGGCGGAAGCCTTTTCTTGTGCAACTTGGGCTTGAACTGCTAGTTGGATCAACTACAACTCTGAGATATTCTGAGTGCTTTTCCTTTTGGGGATCCTTTTCATCTCCTATTGATGATCAGTTCCCACCGCACTGCTCCACGACCTGAGGCCAGAAGGCAGCCGTCGCAGGCCGGTTCCGGGCCGGTGTCGGTGTGGCCCATTCCGGGCTCCTTCGACCGGTCGATGATCACGGTGCAAGAGCATCATCTCGCATCGGTTTGGAACCATTTTGCAAGAACGCTCCAAATGCCTGGAGTCTATATAATATTACGTATAGCAGTTTGGCCATATTCACCACCAACATGCACCGATTTTGGGAGAAGTGCAGATCATGCATCCACGCGCAGCCATTTCTGTGAGGAAGTGCGGCACTTGTCCCAACCATCCGTCCACTCGTCGGGGCAGCCGACCGAACCTCGCGGACGTCGGAGGTACCTTGGTGGCTCATGCCGGCTCGGTCTCCTGGTTCCAGGCAGCGTGACCTGCGTTTGGACCCTTGGTCGCGCGAAGCTTGTGGCGCGGTGGCGTGCTTGGTGGGGTGTTGGGTGCTGATCTGGTGAAGGGAAGGGGTGCGAGGGCGGCAGTCGCACGCGTGAGAGGCGACGTCGACCCATTGAGGCAAGCCATGATTCGATGTATCTACCAACCTGTTGGTTGGTCCAATGGAGGGGAGACCAGCGGGAGATGAAGAAGCAATAGGTATATGGTACCCAGCGGTCGGTTGTTTCAGCATGAAGCATTCCCAAGTACACACATCATGGTCCACGTTGATCCATAATGGACCAGCTTGTCTGGGCTCTAGGTGGGGACCCTGGGCAACATTGAGCCACCTCCGTGCACGTCCGGGAGGCCATCTTTCCGATGAGCGATGTGCCGGGGGTGCCCAACGTCGTCAACATGATGTCGTGCTTGCATGGAGACTGGGGAGGGTGGAGTGGAGTGGAGTGGAGTGGAGTGGAGTGGAGTGGAGTGGAGTTTCGGAGACACTTTCCGACCTTCTTCTCTTCCACTTGGCACCGCTTTCCTTCTTTTTTTTCAGATAAGCGGCTAGCGAGAGATCTATTGGGGTTCCCCAGGTGCCGCTGTGGTGCTGCCCAGGCACATCTCGTGCTAGTTGGGGTCTAGTCTATGCTGGCGCCTGCCTATGCTGGCGCACACCGCTGGGGTAGGTCCGGCCATTTGGTCGCCCCCCGAGGGTGGATGTCCCATTGGGGCCGACGTGATGGTGGTGGTCATGGTCGTTTCCTACCAGGAAAAGTGGGATAAGTGGGTATCCTTGAGCTTTTGGGGGGATGGGTTCCCCACTCAGCAAGGACTAAGTGGACAAGTCTCCCCCAGACTGTGGGAGTCGGTATGGTTTGCTATCTCGGTCCATGCAACCTGGTGGATTTTTAAGGGTTTGTGGGTTAGATGCGAGGGGCATCTAAAAAGCACCGGGAGGCATATATATATATATATATATTCAAGAACACCCTCTTCATTGTTGCTCCTGTACCTGGCCCTTTGTTGGAACTTGCCCGAGAAGTGTCCTTGTAGACTTTTTGTAGGCCGAGGCCTCTATTTTTGAACGTTGATGTTCGTGTGAGTCGGCCTCATGTCGCTTCTGGAGCCTCGTGGCTGACGTTGAAGTCGTGGAATGGCCCTGCATGGGCTTTTCCATACCTGGCAGACTGGGAGCAGAACGTGCTCGTTTCCCAGCTGGAAGCCCAATCCAGATGCGGGGGCCGTGGGTGTGAAGCAACCACTATCGACCAGCGGCATCCAGACCTTTAGAGCCCTTGGAGCCTTGGAAGGATTCCAGGAATCGGCAGCCACACCCAGGTCCAAGGTCCAACTGGTCACATCCACCCGGCCTCCCGACCTCCAGCCGGCTTCCCAGCAGAATCCACTCCCATCCGGGTGTCGAGTGGGCGAGGCGAGGCGACGTTTCAGTGGGCAAAAGCCCTCCAAAGTGGATCTTCGACAAGAGACACCCCAAAAACGGACAAGAGCGAGATCAAATTGGGACTAAGCGTAAGGAACTCCTAGTGTGAGCACACTGTGTTGGGGGGGAAAAGAGGGCTTCCCCGGCCATGTCCAGCTTGGGGGATGTGACCAGTGCAAGGAATGGGCATCAGCATGCAACAGATCAAGACCAACCAAGAATTCGGACAGCATGAGTGTGCTTGCCGCTTTTTGTAACAAGTTGGAGCTGCAGTGAGTTGAAAAAACATGGTGACAGCGGTTGACATCTTCCAAAAGCTGGAAGAAGCCAAAACCTGTAGGTCTGTAGGTCTGAAGCTGAGCCTCTCCTCCTTGGAGCTCGATCCCGGTCCGCCGTTCCGACTGGAGATTCTGAGACCTTTTGGCCACCAGGCAGGAGGATGGCAGTAGGTAGGTTTACCCTGGTTTTACCATGGGATGGGTCAATTTGCACATAGCAACGTCATTTGTGCCTGGACTATCCAAGGGGTGCCCTGTCTGGAAGCCTATAGGTAGTGTAGGGTAGTCCAGCCAGGACACCCCTTGGATGGTCCTGGTGGTGTGTTGTTTGTTTTGGTGAGATTTCGGACTCATGTGGCTACAGTCTCTTTCAGGTCCCTCCAAGCTCAAAATAGGAGTCCACCTTGTGCTGGTCTTGGGCAAGGGATGGCAAGGGTGGTTTGCAGATGATGCCGGGGCAAACGGTTCATTTGGGTGTGCATCGAAATAGGGAGACCTCCCAGTTCGACCCCCTGGAAGAAGGGAAGTAGACTTATAAGACCAAAGCCAATGGGGCTAGGGGGTCTCCCCACTAACCATGCGAACCCGATTTTGTGTCCTTTGATGGCCGCAGTGGCAGCCAAAGGCTTCATCGTTAGGCACCCCATCAAAGGGCGTTCTGCCGGTCGTGTGCCGAAAGTTTCTCCTTTCCGAAGGTCTTCCACCGAGCTGCGAATTTTACGTGTGTGCGCATGATGCTGTCATTTGCGGCAGGTGAGGGGAAGGCAGGGGTGATGGGGCACGCGTGATGGGGTTTGCTGTTTCCATGATTCTTGCACTTTGGCAAGCGGCACCGGATGGGGTGCTCTAAGGCTCTTGCTGCTGTTCGCCACCACCCTGGCGGTTCCACTCATGGCGCGGCTACGCACTTCGTGGGCGCCTTGGGGAACTGGGTTGGACGTTGCAAGGTTGGAGTGGATGGCCAACAGCATGGACCGTTTCAGCAGAACCATTGGGCGGCCTCACATCAGCGAAGACACGGGGTCTCCATCATTGAATGTGCTTGGCTGGGACAATCCATTCTCGTTTCGCAAGCTTTTTTAGACAAGCTTTCTAGATGCGCACTTCTAGGATTGCCGCTGGCACGTGGATCAAGACGTTGAAATGCAGGAAGACATTGAGCGTTTTTCAGCTGTTGCTAAGACATTCGGATGAAGACTAAAGTGATAACATGTGATAACTTATGGCGCACGTTAATAAGATTTGTTTGTTCAACTTCGTGTCAACATGTGTCAACATGCCTTCCAACCTGCCTTCCATCCGCTGGTTTCGACCCGATCTTTCACTTCTGGTTCGCGGGACCATTTCGAATTCTTACACGGCGGCTTATTGGCACCACCACAGCAAGTTCAGGGATCTAACAGCTCCTGGCTTTTGAACACCTTGGGTGTGAGTGGCCGATCTCTCAGCCATTCCCACCTTGGACTTGTTTGTGCGTTCCCCAGCAAGTGAAAAAAAGGGGTGACATCCAGGAATGCAACTCGCTCATGACTGCCACGTGTTGAGGATCTGCTGTGTCCCGTCACCCCCACCACCGTGTCACCCACTGCGCCAAAGCCGCGCGTGTCAATTGCGCCACCGGAAACCAATGGCACGGCCGGAAGACCGACGGAGCAGTATTCATATGGACGGCTTTTGGTGGGGCACCCCAGTGGGTGGGTAGCCATTTGGTGCGGAGGAATGAAAGTCAAGTGAAGACCAACTCAATTAGGAAGTCTTTTGGGAAAGTACTTGGCCTGGAAGCCACACTTAGCAGATTCAATGCGGGACCTGTTGACAGTTTTGAGCATTCATGTTCCGAACGTTCCGAAGATTCCGCATGGAATCTGCATCAGGATAGGTCAAGACACTGTGTTTGAAAGCTGGGAATGTGATTCCAGAGTTCTTTCGAAGCTAGAGGCCCACAGTGAGGTGAAGAACAAGTTGACTGGATTGGACAGAGCCAATCGACAGCTAGAAGCCTCAATCAACTGAAAAAAAGCGCAACCCCAAATTATAGAGAATATTATATGGTGATGCTTATACATGCCCGCAAGAGAACCTTCGTTTTAAAACGCCCTCTTTGTCCAGCTTCATGTCCGGAAGGCGGCGGCGTTTTCGCGTTGAACGCGTCGAACTGGGCTCCAGCAGCCTTTCGCGCACCCTGGTCCAAAGGTCTTCACCAAACCACCCTTGCTGGTCGCCATGCAGGTCACACCACTGGTCACCCTCTCCTCACTGGGGGTGGAGTTTTTGGCTCGACTGGACTGGACCGGGACTTCCAGGAAGGCCGTGGTGAAGAAGGACGTGTGCCATCGAACCATCGAGAGCATCCACGGCACGAACGTGCGAAAGCCGCCATGTTTGTTGTTTGTTCTTTTTCAACCGCTGCTTTTCGGAAGACCGGGAAATGAGACACGTGAAGGTTCAGTTGTTCTTCTAGCCGGGGCAGCCAGGCTATATTCAGGGTGGCTTGGGCTGTTCTTCTTTTTCTTCCGGAACCAAGAGTGGCCCGAGTGGCCCAACGAACCTAGCGCGTAGCGCGGCCGTGCCTTGACCTCTGAGAAGTCATGTCCAAGGAAGAGCACCCCGGTGCAAAGCGAATGACGGTGGGACTCCTCAGAGGAGCTGTAAAGACTGTGAAGAAGGCAGACTTTCAGGGTTCTGCAGTGCCCCCGACTCCAACCGAGTTGAATGATTTTTCACTCTTGTTCCCAGACCACGTGGGACAACGGAAGGTGATTTCCTGGAACCGTGGCCGCTGGGGGTGAACTAAATATGGAACCTGCCACCAACGATTTGAAACGTTCCCCCTGAGAGTCCAAAACTTGTCTTTAATGGTTGAACTGGTGTTGTACCCAGACGCTCACGGGCCCTCATATGGAGGGGTTGGACCCGAATCCTCTGGAGGGGTCTGGGGTCTCAATTTGCTAGGGCCCTAGGGTTTTGAGGGACCAAGGGCTGTTTGGAGCATCTGGGTAGTGTAAAATCCTCAGTGAAACAATGGTTGTTCGGTAAAGCCTGTTAAATTAATAGTGCTTAGAATCCAAGCATTCTCTTTTCCCCCTTGCCACGCTTGGTCTCCCAGTTTTTTGGTATGACGGCCGCACCCAGCTGTTTGTCCCTTTTGGTCCCTGCCAACCCTCGAAGAATCTTTTCCAAGCCAGCCGCAGGGCGCCCACACAGCGCACGGTCCCTTTTCTTTTTTCTCACCGCCCGCCAGCGGCCCGTCGCTTCGTCGCAGCAGCTGGCTCAGCTGGCGTTCGTGTCGGGTGTCCTTCGGGTGTGCTGAAGGGCCCCGCAGTCAGACGAAGGCCTGGACATGGACAGTCAGGAGGGCGTCTCGGGGGGGGGGGTGGTCCGGAGCCACTGGGCCCAGTGGGTGAAGAGAGAAGAAGGCCAAAGACATGGTCCAGCCCTTGGGTGCAAGATTGTGGGCGCAAGAATTGGCCTATCAACAGTGGCTGTTTGAAAGTGACGTGGGTTGAAGGTTGCCAAAAGAACTATAGCCACCAAAACTGGACCCGGCTCAGGCCATGGTGGATTTCTGTGGTCAGACAGGGTATCAGGTCTGGCATGCATGATCACCAGTGTCGTCTTCTCAATGTGAATTAGTCGAAGAGTGTAAATCTGCCTGCCTTCACAAAAACATGAAGAAACTCCTCCAACCCCAACTCGTGGTCACAATCCCGCCCCCCACTCTGGAGGGTCAGATGGAGAGAAACTCACCCCCCAACAAGAAACCCCCTCAGCTCACCCTGCTTTCGCCTCTTCTCCCCGCCGCAGGGGGGTTGCCCGGTCTACCGGCCATCTACGGCCCCTTGGCCGGACCGCGCCGGGGGGCGCCGCTCTCCGGATGGAGGAGCCGGTGCATGTGGCGGTCATCGGCGCGGGGTTCCTGGGCGCCCGGATCATCACGGAGCTGCTGCTGTTGGGCAGTGACGTGGCAGCTTGGCTGAACCGCATGGTCGGTGGGTGTCGGTGGGGAATCCGGAGAAAGGAAGAACTGAACGGTTAGAAGACTCATGAAGACTCGATAATTAGGGGTGAGTTGTGAGGGTAAGAAGGATTTGAGGTGTCTTGTTTTGCATTGGTTTGCTAAGGTGTATGTTATTTGAAAGGTGAAGACTATTGGGACGGGACTATTCGCTTGTGTTGACTAGACTGTGTGAAAGACAGAGAGATACAATTGGGATGAAATGGTGATTTACGTCTCTTGGGTCATTGCTTGTTGTGGGGCAGACGAACAAGAATAGACCAGGCTGAAGAACAATGGCTTGGTGGAGACGTCCCCGTTTGCAGAACATCCGTTTATTTTTCTATTTAGGACCGGACATGATCGTACCATAAACACGCCGCAAGAAATGCCTTCATCAGCAAGCTCCACGCTCATCCATCCCAGAAGTCATTTTCCCAGAACGGGTCACTGTAAACTTCCAACAGTCCCAGCCCGATTTGCGGGTGGTTACGGGTGGTTGGAGGAGGCTAAAGAGAGGCACAAATTCCTCACAAAAGCTGGTCCAACCACCTACACATGAAAGACCACCTTCATCTGGGCAACCAAGACAGTGGTGGGTGGACGTCGGGTCTGACGAGAACGGTTCCGCCCCGCCCGCCTGCCGCCTAGTCGGTCTTCGATGCTGGCTTGGCGAAGACCAAAAACCCACAGGCCCTGCCGACCAGATCGCGCGTCTCGCGTGGTGGCCAATGCTGCAGTGCAGAAGATGTGAACCCTGGTGACCTGGTGTGTGGCCTTTAGTTTGATAAATTGTAATGCAGATAGTTCTAGACAGACCTTGGGGCATTACTTGCATCACGAAATGTTTGAATTGGTTTGAGCTCACTTTCTTTTCATCAGGAGACGCTGAATGGCACCGTGACTGAAATTCTGCTGGATTGCAACAGGCGGGATGGTGACCTGCCTGTGGTGGTGCGAATGGTGAGGCGGTGTAGCACAGGCTGCAATCACAGCTTGGGCGTGTTCTTCCGAAGGGGGACAGCTGCTCGAGCACCAAGTTGTATATGAATGTCCGTCCTTTGAGCAACCATAAAGACAAACACATGAAGAAACACGCGCGCGCTATAAATGGACAAGACTATAAACACAAAATATGTGTTGCACATAGCAGTATGCCCCCGCTTGGAGGCAAAGGCAGAATTGGAGGGGGATACACTGCCCAAGAAGCTGCCCAAGAAGCCTCGCATAGCCCGGACGCGCCTCCCTCTACGCGCGCTCTCAAGCGTATGTCCTCGATTTGGAGTTGGAGCACCCGGCTTGCGGCGGTGGGGTGTTGGGACCCCATGGGTGACCGGAGCCGGAGCTCTTCTTTGGCCTCATTTTGGTGTGTATTTGTTTATCTGACAACGTGCTTCTTGGACAATAAGGACATTGGATGGCATGCCCTAGTTCTTTCTTTTCGCCCGGTGGTCTGGTTTGTGTCACCTCCCGTTCAAACACCAGTGCACCAAATGAAGAGGGTTTGACCATCCACAATGGAAGGCTTTGGTGAATCAGGGGCCTACATGAGATGGTTTAGGGTTTTATGGAGGTGGTGAGGCTACCGGCGGTGGGACCTCGCGTGCAGGGCGAATCTTTTGGACTTGGCCGACCAGCGGCCACCCAGCAAAGGTGCGGCATTTTGAATCCCGAGCATTTCGAACTGCCCTTTGGAGTGCCAAACGTGCAGTTTGAAGGCCAAGAAGGCCAAAGAATTGCCCACAGGCTTACGTGGCCATGTGTTCAACAGTCAGATTTTTGTGGCGCTTTTTGCACATCGCCTTTAGTCAAGCCAGTGGCCTGCATCAGTCGGACCAAAAGAATCAACTTCCACCTCATCCACTTCGTTGCCCAGGGATTTGGATACCCTTGCCGGACGGCCAAGTGAGACAAGCC